AGCTTCCCACGGCTTGGCTTGAGCTCACGTTGTAAACAACTCTTGGCAGCTTTTGGAGAAAGAGGCATCTCTGAGCTTTCACTGCTCACTGCCCCCCCCCACTGCTCACGGGGTCTCCAGGACGTTTTCCTGCACCCCCTCTGATGGGTAAAGGGCTTCCAACACTTGGCCTCTCTCCAAGTTCCTCACACAGACACGTTGCATCATCCACACAGCTCCCAGGCTCAGCAAAAGCACCAGCAGCATTGCTAGCAACAGCAACAGTCCCTTCGCCCCCCTGTGGGGGCTCCCAGCTCCTCCCAGCTGTGTATCGGCTCTCAAGAATGTGGCCGGCGCCATCTTGCCTCTCCCTTTCGGACGCAGCCACTTCTCAGCCCTTGCTTCCCACTCCAGCTCCACAAGCTTCTCGGAGTGCTAGCCAAGCGGCCTCTGGCTTTCTTGCACCCAGCACAACAGGCACCAGATGAGCATCCACACTTTCTGCCAAAAAAAGCAAGCACATGCTTCTCAACTTCACTTTGCTCTGCAGCCCTCTTAGCCTCTGCTTTCCCAGCTGCATTCTGTGGGGGGTGAATTACGTTCCAAAGCTGCTCCCCCACCAGCAAAAGCTCTACTTGAAAGCTCCACTGCAACCAATTTTGGCTAGTCAGTTTCTGACATGGCAGTTTAAGCTCAAAGCCATGTTCATAGGGCTGAGCCATTGCCTCCCTTCTGTTGGCTTTTCCAAAGGTACTCACTCAGCAGCCAAACTGGGCACTCCGGACGCCATGGCTCTCAGCTCCCTCTCCGTCAGCCTCCTCCGATCTGCCCTTTGAAGTCTCGGCAGTCGATCAAACTGACGATCAGCAAATAAAGCTTCAAAGCCCTTTCTCACACGCTTCACATTGACCCATAACCTTTGTTAGGTAGATTTATTGCTTTATTGTTCAGCGTCCAGCACGCTTCCCCCTGCGAGCCGCTGCAGGTCGTAAAGCGATTAGCAGATAGCAAAGTTGCACAGCGGTCGTGTGTTTGAAAGAGCAGTAAATTAAGTCCCACACATTTCTTCTGTCCTAATATCTCTTTATTTGCTCAAAAGTAGCATATTTACAATCAAGAACTTCCATCTGAATTAAACTACATCTTCCCACTCTGTTTGCAGCTACGCAACAAAACTGCTTTCACTTTTCACTCAGCTCACAGCATTCCAAGCTGCTTTCGTCACATCCTGGCCTACTTCCCTTGTAAGAGCCTCCCCTCAGCCTCGAGACACAGAAGGTTAACCCTTCACTACACCCAACAAAACATTCCAGATGCTCCATCTCCCAGAACCCGGCGGGACTTAAAAGTAGGAGAGCAAAGACTTCAAAGACAGAGGGCACTTAGCAGTACCCGGGGGGAGATGATGTTGATGATGACAAACTAGGAAGTGGGAGAGACGTGAGGTAGAGATTCACTGGGGACAACATCATTATCCAAGAGGCTGGGTCCTACACCCTCTCTCTGTAAAGTCTGAAATAAGAAAGGATTCCTTGTTTCTATGGATTCCTGGGGAAACAGCAAGGAGCTGCTGACAGCGTCCTGACAGATTGTCCCGAGTCAAAATTAGTTGCCGGTTAATTTATAAATCATGACAGACTGTGCAAGACCTGCCAGGGGCAGCCTCCCAACACTGATAACTGGCAAGGACAATTATCAAAATGCTGAAATCTCAAGGCAGAGGCAGAATTAAACAAATTCCCGAACCTGACTATACATCCAGTTATAAAGTGGTATAATAAACAAACAAAGAAATAAATAAATAATTAAAAAAATGGCTTAGTCATCCTCTGCGATAGAAAGGAGAAGGGAAAAGACAGGTTGGCGAATTATTATTGTGAAAGGTGCCCTTCCTTCAGGTAACCACAAGGGTCCAGCAATGTGATGGAAACAGGTGAGGGGTGAGTTTTTTACCTGAGGGATACATCCCCTGGCACTGACTATGCAGGGCATTGCATCCTCCTCTTAAACTTTTTGTTTTATCCAAGCTATCTCCTTGTGAAACATGAATGCAGCAGATCTGAATGTTTGCGATCTGTAGTTGGGATCTTACTTCTGTGGAAATTGCTATGACTACCAGATTTCAGCAATATCTTCCCACAAGCATGTGATGTTGGCAACATTCTCTTCCATGTCACCCTAAGTCACAACGTTCCAAAGAAATTACAATTATGGGAAGCATGGGTGCAGCCAAGATTTTTTTTAGGGGGGCCTATAAAGTTGTGCCTCCGTTTCAAGCTCTTCTGAATGAACTTTCCTTTCACTTGTGGACCATGGTATTTGTGTTCCCTCTACACAGGATATGGCCTGTCACAAACTGATTATATCTGCCTCCCGTTTGTTTGTCCTGCTGTCTTCACTGACATTGGGAGCTGTCCACCACTGTATAATTGTTGCAGAAGGGAACTTCAGCTTAGTAAATGAGAATCAAACAAGTGTCCAGAGGAAAGTATCATTTCTCCTCCCCACACCCTGCCCCTCTTTGTAGCATTTTTTTGGATTGATCATTTTGAGGAGTCTCTGATCTGAGTAGCTTTAAGCTACCACCCTAAATGGACATCCCTTCTCGGATTTAGGCAAACGGAGCCAGTGAACAGAGAAAATATGCCTGCTAACATGAACAACAGGTTTCTTTACAAGTTGATGGTCATTTATCTGATTCCAGTTTGTTGTTGTTGTTCAGTCGTTTAGTCGTGTTCGACTCTTCGTGACCCCATGGACCAGAGCATGGCAGGCAGTTTAAGCTCCTTTAATATAGCATTTGTCCGCTGTTAAAATCCATTTGAGTTTTCCATTAAAACTTTATTATTTCATCCATTATGTAAAAACTGCATCGATACAAACTCATCTCTCCTCCCTCCCTCTTCCCATCCATGTCTTAGAGCCATTCTATTCCTTCAGAAACAGAATTAACCAAAACAAAACTTATTATAGTCATTATGTAGGTTGATTACACAGCCTGCAAGATTTACAGTTGTCTTAATTATGTTTTTCATTAATTAAACAACCACTGGCAGTACAAAGTATCTCTAATGCAACCTTTTATTACACAGAATGTCATTTTCATACAGTAGTGAGTACCAGCTACCAGTTCCATTTGTTACACAAAGCATCAATTATTTAAGTGGTCCCTGAATACATCGTCCTTTGATTGCAATCTTAATTGGTTGCACAGCCAGTTGTTTTCATACTTTGTCCATTGCAAAAGACACCTATGGCAGAATCAGCCTAGGGCGGCACATCCCGTATTGCCCCAAATGGCAGTGATCTTGTCCAAAATCAGTCCTGATGATGCTGGTGCTTCTCCTCCACTGGCAGAAGCAGCAGGGCAGGAGGGGCACCCATGGGCACTGTGCCTGGTTGGGGGCTTCTGCCACCTGGAGCAGCGTCCTCACCTGCCTCAAGGCTTGTCCGGCTCTGGGATCAGCCCTGTCTTTGGTTGCTTTGCTCTGTGAGGTTTTGCCAGTTCCTCTTGATCGAATTCTTCAATCACATGGTATTTGATTGTTTAGATTAATATGCAGTTTCATCTATTGTTTATCTCAGGGGGAAGGGATCACCATAACTGTCCATCCTAAAACTTCAATAGCTGCTGGACATTTGCTCAGTGTGATCTTCTCCCCTCCATCTTGTTGGAATAGCTGAGAATTATAAGGTAAAGGTAAAGGGACCCTGACAGTTAAGTCCAGTCGGGAACGACTCTGAGGTTGCAGCGGTTATCTCGCTTTACTGGCCGAGGGAGCCGACATTTGTCCGCAGACAGTTTTTCTGGTTCATGTGGCCAGCATGACTAAGCCGCTTCTGGCAACATCAGAGCAGCACACAGAAACGCCGTTTACCTTTAAGCCGGAGCGGTACCTATTGATCTACTTGCACTTTGACGTTCTTCCGAACTGCTAGGTTGACAGGAGCTGGGACCGAACAAGGGGTGCTCACCCTGTACCGGGGTTTTGAATTGCCAACATTTTGATTGGCAAGCCCAAGGCTCAGTGGTTTAGACCACAGCGCCACCCGCGTCCATTAGCTGAGGATAAGGTTCCATATATTCCTTGCAAAGTGTTCCACATTCAGTTCCAAGCACCTTGCGCATGAAAGCACCAATGAAACCTCAAAGCAGAGAAAGTTAACTCATTGGCCTTTGGATGTTTCTGATCTGGAGATCCCATCACCCCTGTTCTTTAGCCACAAATAACAGCGACTCCAAGGAGCGCAGGACAGAAGAGTGAAGCAGCTTCAGAAACAGGGTTGGGAAGGGGGAAAGGGGGCTTAGTCATCTTCAAGGGTGGAAAGGGGAAAGGAAAGGACAGGTTGGCCAATTATGATGGGGTGCAGAGTGGACATGGCAGGTGGAACAAGCAGAGAAGCAGAGCCCCTCCTGTTTGAAAATATTTTTGTAAGTTGCTTTGAGTCTAGTAAGAAAAAGGTGTTTGGGAAAAAGGATGATGATGATTGCAAGAATGAGAAAAAGGACAAGAGAGCATGTGAAGATTGCCTTTCCTTCAAGTAAGCACAAGAGTCCATCATTTCACCTTTGAAATCTCCTTGCCCTGCACGTCCCACTCAACCTCTTCAATCAGTGGCCTTGAATTTTCTTTTCTTTTTTTTGAAGAACGGTTTGAAGCTATTACTACTACCAGTGCTATTTCCTTGGGCGATGCAGGGAAACGCCCTAAACATTTTGTGAATCATCCTCATAAATGTTTTGTTTAATTCAAGCTATCTCGCTCTGAAACATGAATACGCCACATCTGAATGTTTGCGATCTTACATCTTTGGAAACTGCTATTACTGACCGAATGCAGGAATGCCTTTGCAGAGGCACGTGATTTTGGCAACGTTCTCTTCCACGTCAGCCTAAGTCACAACGTCCCAAAGAAATTACATTTATGCAATCTGCTTCTCCCTCCCAGCCCTCTCTTGGCAAGCTTTGGGGCTCCATTTGGCTTAAAAGCTGGCTTTGCCACCACAATTCATCCTGAGCCATGAAGATCCTTCACCTGTGCTTTGCAGTTCTCTGTTTGCTGCTCCTGGCTTCCCCAGGTAAGGGATAGAGAGGTAGAAGACAGAGGGACACCTGCCAGCCTATTATGGGGTGGAAGAGGGAGAGGAGTACAGTTGCTGTTCTGTGGCTTTGCAAAGGAAGCTCACTTTTCTTTCTAGAGACGTTTCTTTAGTGGTAATCTCTTTAGTGGGAATTCTTTGCATAAAAATGTATATATCAGATAAAATTGCCTACAAAGGTGCATCTATTAGGGGATATATGCACTGCTTTACTGAATTTCCCCCATTATGCCCAAAACTGCTATGCAATTTCCCCTATTATAACCTATATTTTCATGTTATTGTCATGAAATTACACTTTTTCCATGTACATTTTTTAAACACATTACTTGGAGGGAAAGCTGCCTTTCAGAGGACGGCTGTGCTTTGATGTTCACATGTTGACTTCATTATGGCACAGTAACATAAGGAAAAAGGGACGTGGGTGGCCCTGTGGTTTAAACCACTGAGCGTCTTGGGTTTGCCGATCAGAAGGTTGACGGTTTGACTCCCCGCGACAGGGTGAGCTCCCATTGCCCGATCCCAGCTCCTGCCAACCTAGCAATTCAAAAGCACATCAAAGTGCAAGTAGATAAATAGGTACAGCTCCGGCGGGAAGGGAAACGGCGTTTCCGGGTGCTGCTCTGGTTCGCCAGGAGCAGCTTAGTTATGCTGGCCACGTGACCCGGAAGCTGTCTGTGGTGAAACGCCGGCTCCCTCAGCCTGAAATGCGGGATGAGCGCACAACCCCAGAGTTGTCTGCAACTGGACTTAACTGTCAAAAGAGTCCTTTACCTTTTTTTAAATATATGGAAAATGGCTTCGCATGTAAAACTGGTAAGGAAAAACAAAAGTAGCCTCTTCTTTTCTCAGTTTGGTTAGATTTTATGGAATTCTATGCAAATTTATGGCATATGTTTTACAAAATTAAATTTTGATTTGTCTCTTCCACAGGTCTGCCAATAAATTTGGGGTATATAGTTTCTAATTAGTGGGGTCTGTTTCTTGAGGTAATTTAGAGCCTTTTATTCTGGGTAGTCCTTGGGGCTCTGATGGCTTCAGTTACAGGCTTTAGTTTCTCTATAACTAATAAGCCATGTGTGCCTCACTTCCTGCTGTTGTGTTTTGTGGACTGACACCCTCCACTCATGAGCAAATAGCTGGATAAGCAGATTGACCATTTCTTCTTGTGAATGGAGCAAGGGTGGTAAACACCAGTGGCCAGTGGCAAGGGGTGGGGTGGGGGGTAGGAGTTGGGATGCCACAGCACCCAGAGAGTCACAGGGCCACTCCTGTTCAAAGGGCTGTGGAGTTGTTCCTCTCTTTCATCCAGTTGTGAATTAACTTCCTTCTCCCCACTTATGTTTGTTTTTCTCTTTGCACAGGATTTGCACAGGATGAGGAACCTTCCAATCATATTCAGTGCCATAAAGCCAATGGTTTTTGCTACCGTAAACGTTGTTCCAAAAATTATGAAACGATTGGAAGGTGCAGAACTAGTTTCTGTTGCAGAAGGTAATCTGAGCTGACCAAATGAGAATTGCACCTCCTGCCCCTCTCCCATTACCCTCTGGATTGATGATTTTAAGTACCCAATGCAGAGTCTCCTAAATTGATCATCCTTTGCTTGCAAGCTTAATTGCTCCATTGCAAAAATAGAAATAAAATACCTATGCCAGAATCAGCCAAGCGTGGCACATCCCATTTTGCCGCTTGATGCAAAATGGTAATTGCTGTTTTGCCATTCTGCCGGCACGGCTCCTAAGCCCATCTACCTGCTCCTCCTGCCATGGCCTGATCTGCCACTGACACAAACCATACCCTGTTGATTGCAGGCACAGAAGCGGCACTACCATTGCTGCCAATTTTAAGCAAGATGGTGCCAAGTTCTATTCCCACAGGCAGAACCAGCGGGACAGGAGGGGCACCAATGGGTTTGTTGTCTGAGGGGCTTCTGCCACCAGAAGCAGGGTCCTCACCTGCCTCATGGCTGGTCCGGCTGTCTTTGGCCCTTTTGCCCTGTGAGTTTATGCCAGATCTCCTTTGCCAAATCCCTAAACCACACCAGATGGGCACATTTAATTTGTTGTGCAGCTTCATCCATTGTTTATCTCAGTGCCTAAGGGATGTCTATTCTGCAGCTTTAACAGATGCTGGGCTCTTACTCTGTGTGGTGTCCTGCCCTCCACCGTTTAAGATTACCTCAGTTTCACATCCCATACATTCCATGCAATTCTCCCACTTTCAATTCCAAGCAGATTCATTCTTATTTTATCTTTTAAAGAAAGAAGCTGAGGCAGTAGACTTTTGTCTTGGGTGCATACAGAGAAATTAGCAACTGGACTGAATGAACCCCAGGGTGCCAGTTCTCCCGTGTTTCTCAAAACATTGTCACAAACTGTTTCCCCAGAACTCTTCCTCAGGGCCACAAAGACAACAAATCCCTGCCTTGCATAACATCCAGTCTGCAGGAGAATATTGGAGACCTTGCATGCTCACTCACTATTCTGTGACATATTTAACTGTACCTAGAAAATCTAGTCCCCCAGGGCTAGGGTGTCTGAGAGACTGCATTTAATTCTCATCGAAAGGTGAATCTATGTAATTCATAGTTTCTGGAAATGAAAAACTGAAGCAGACCTATCCCTACGCAATGGTTTATTATCTTGAAATGTTTCTTGTGGTCCAACATAGCTTGCTTTGTATTTTCGTGTCTCAAACATGGTCAGTTTGCTATGAAACCGAGTTAACTGTTGTCTTTTTGTTTCTGGTTTCTGTGTTTTAGACGGGAGGAGTGATAGATGCCTTTGAAAAGTGGAAGATGCTCCCTCTCTTTGAGAGCCGCTGGATCCCGCTTCATCCCCAGCTAGGGACTTCTTCTCCAAAGCATCCAGATTGAAAAAAGCAACATTTTCAAGGCTTATATGAGTTTGTGCCTTGCAATAAAAGCAGATCCAAAAGCCTTTTCCCTCTGTTTTTCATTTCTAAGCATGAGTGTTCTTGCTAGTGAAGCCAAAAGGGCACCTTACGTCCATGAGAAGGAGGTGTCAGCAAGCATGGTTTGTGGAGAACCCAAAACATCATTAGAAAGGAAGACTAAAAGGGGATGAGGATCTCTCTATACAGTCTAGCGAGTAGGACTGGGCCACAATGTGGAAAATGAAGAGTGACAAAATATGGAGTGACAAAAACGTAATTCATTCCAGAATGCGCATATTCCCTACCTACGTCTCCCGTGGCCCTGGAAACATACCATGTTCGTATTCCGGGGCAAAGTCTGCAACCTGGAAGACCTACTTCCGAGTCTGTGGAGTTCATAACACAAAGAGTTCGTAAGAAGGACTGTTTGTAACCCAAGGTACCTCTGTAACCTCCTTTAATATAGCATTTATCCGCTGTTAAATTCCATTAGAGTTTACCACTAAACCTTTATTATATCCTGGAAAAACTTCATGGATACAAACTCATCTCTCCTCCCTCCCTATTCCATTTCTTAGAGCCATTCTAATCCTTCAGAAACATTAAAAAAAACCTCATTGTAGTAATTATGTAAGTTGATTATACAGCCTGCAAGATTTACAGTTGTCTTAATTATGTTTTTCATTAATTAAACAACCACTGGCAGTATAAAGTATCTCCAATGCAACCTTTTTATTACACAGAATGTCATTTTCATACAGCAGTGAGTACCAGCTACCTGTTCCACTAGTTACCAGTACACAAAGCATCAATTACTTAAGTGGTCCCTGAATACATCGTCCTGTGATTACAAGCTTAATTGGTTGCGCAGCCAGTTGTTTTCATACTTTGTCCATTGCAAAAGACACCTATGGCAGAATCAGCCTAGGGCGGCACTTCCCGATTTGCCCCAAATGGCAGCCCAAAATCAGTGCTGATGGTACTGGTGCTTCTCCTCCACTGGCAGAAGCAGCAGGGCAGGAGGGGCACCCATGGGCATTGTGCCTGGTTGGGGGCTTCTGCCACCTGGAGCAGCGTCCTCACCTGCCTCAAGGCTTGTTCGGCTCTGGGATCAGCCCTGTCTTTGGTTGCTTTGCTCTGTGAGGTTTTGCCAATTCTTCTTGGTCGAATTCTTCAATCACATGGTATTTGATTGTTCAGATTAATATGCAGTTTCATCTATTGTTTATCTCAGTGGAAAGGGATCACCATAACTGTCCATCCTAAAACTTCAATAGCTGCTGGACATTTGCTCAGTGTGATCTTCCCCTCTATCTTCTTTGAATAGCTGAGGATTAAAAGGTACAGGACCCTTGACAGTTAAGTCCAGTCGCAGACGACTCTGGAGTTGCGGCGTTCATCTTGCTTTACTGGTTGAGGGAGCCTACGTTTGTCTGCAGACAGTTTTTTTGTGTCATGTGGCCAGCATGACCAACCCGCTTCTGGTGAAATCAGAGCAGTGCACGGAAACACCGTTTACCTTCCCGCAGGAGCGGTACCTCTTTATCTACTTGCACTTTGACGTGCTTTCGAACTGCTAGGTTGGCAGCAGCAGGGACCGAGCAACGGGAGTTCACCCTGTAACGGGGATTAGAATTCCCAACATTTTGATTGGCAAGTCCAAGGCTCAGTGGTTTAGACCACAGCGCCACCTGCGTCCGTTAGCTGAGGATTAGGTTCCATGTATTCCATGCAAAATGTCTCACATTCAGTTCCAAGCACCTTGCGCATGAAAGCACCAGGCCTGAGCATGAAATGAAATGAAACCTCAAAGCAGAGAAGGTTAACTCATAGGCCTTTGGATGTTTCTGATCTGGAGATCCCATCACCCATGATCTTTAGCCACAAATAACAGCGACTCCATGGAGCGCAGGACAGAAGAGTGAAGCAGCTTCAGAAACAGGGTTGGGAAGGGGGAAAGGGGGCTTAGTCATCTCCTAGGGTGGAAAGGAGAAAGGAAAGGACAGGTTGGCCAATTATTATGGGGTGCAGAGTGGACATGGCAGGTGGAGCAAGCAGAGAAGCAGAGCCCCTCCTGTTTGAAAATATTTTTGTAAGTTGCTTTGAGTCTAGTTAGAAAAAGGTGTTTGAGAAAAAGGATGGACTTGAATTTTTTTTTTTTTTTTAAAGAACTGTTTGAAGCTATTACTACTACCAGTGCTATTTCCTGGAGGGATGCACGCGTGCGCATACCCCTAAACATTTTGTGAATCTAAGTTTGGCCAGATTGAGGAGCAGTATTTCAATATGAGTAGGAAAATGTGAGTACCCCTAAACATTTTTTAGGGGGGGAAAGCACTGATTACTACTAAGAATAATCATTGTGGGAGGCGAGCATGTGAAAAGTGTCCTTCCTTCAGCTAATTGCAAAGGTTCAGCAATGCAATGGGGACAGGTGAGGGGTGAGTCATTTACCTGGGGGATACATCCCCCGGGCACTGCCTATATGGGGCATTGCATCCTCAGCATAAATGTTTCGTTTGATTCAAGCTATCTCGCTCTGAAACATGAATACAGCACATCTGAATGTTTGTGATCTTACTTCTGTGGAAACTGCTATGACTGACCGAATGCAGGAGTGCCTTTCCAGAGGCACGTGATTTTGGCAACATTCTTGTCCACGTCAGCCTAAGTCACAACGTCCCAAAGAAATTAAAATTATGCAATCTGCTTCTCCCTCCCAGCCCTCTCTTGGCAACCTTCGGGGCTCCATTTGACTGAAAAGACGGCATTCGGCTTTGCCACCACAATTCATCCTGAGCCATGAAGATCCTTCACCTGTGCTTGGCAGTTCTCTCTTTGCTGCTCCTGGCTTCCCCAGGTAAGGGATGGAGAGGAAGAAGGCAGAGGGACACATGCCAGCCATTTTTGGGGTGGAAGAGGGAGAGGAGTACAGTTGCTGTTCTGTGGCCTTGCAAAGGAAGCTCACTTTTCTTTCTAGAGACGTTTCTTTAGTGGTAATATCTTTTGTGGTAATTATTTGCATTAAAATGTATATATCCGACAACATTGCCTACCAAAGTGTGTCTACTAGGGAAAATATGCACTGTGTTGCTGAATTTCCCCCCATTATGCCCAAAACTGCTATGCAATTTCCCCTATTGTAACCTATATTTTCATGCTATTGTCATGAAATTACACTTTTTCAGGTACATTTTTTAAACACATTACTTGGAGGGAGAGCTGACTTTCACAGGACAACTGTGCTTTGATGTTCACATGTTGACTTCATTATGGCACAGTAATATAAGGAAAAAAGGACGTGGGTGGCCCTGTGGTTTAAACCACTGAGCCTCTTGGGCTTGCCGACCAGAAGGTTGGCGATTTGAATCCCCACGATGGGGTGAGCTCCCATTGCTCGATCCCAGCTCCTGCCAACCTAGCAATTCGAAAGCACATCAAAGTGCAAGTAGATAAATAGGCACCAATCTGGCGGGAATGTAAACGGTGATTCTGTGTGCTGCTCTGGTTCACGAGAAGCAGCTTAGTCATGCTGGCCACGTGACCCGGAAGCTGTCTGTGGTCAAACGCCGGCTCCCTCAGCCTGTAAAGCGGGATGAGCGCACAACCCCAGAGTTGTCTGCAAATGGAATTAACTGTCAAAACAGTCCTTTACCTTTTTTTAAATATATGGAAAATGGCACCGCATGTAAAACTGGTAAGGAAAAACAAAAGTAGCCTCTTCTTTGCTCAGTTTGGTTAGATTTTATGGAATTCTATGCAAATTTATGGCATAAGTTTTACAAAATAAAATTTTGATTTGTCTCTTCCACAGGTCTGCCAATAAATTTGGGGTATAAAGTTTCTAATTAGTGGGAAATGTTTCTTGATGTAGTATACAGCCTTTTATTCTGGATAGTCCTTGGGGCTCTGATGGCTTCAGTTCCAGGCTTTAGATTCTCTATAACTTATAAGCCATGTGTGCCTCACTTCTTGCTGTCGTGTTTCGTAGACTGACACCCTCCACTCATGAGCAAATATCTGGATAAGCAGATTGACCATTTCTTCTTGTGAATGTAGCAAGGGTGGTAAACACCAGTGGCCAGTGGCAAGGGGTGGGGTGGGGGTAGGAGTTGGGATGCCACAGCACCCAGAGCATCACGGAGCCATTCCTCTCTTTCATTCTATTGTGAATTAACTTCCTTCTCCCCACTTATGTTTGTTTCTCTCTTTGCACAGGATCTGCACAGTACCAGGAACCTAAGAATGTTATTCAATGCCATAGTGCCAATGGTACTTGCTTCCCTATACGTTGTCCCAATAATTATAAAAGGATTGGAACGTGTATTCAAAATTATTTCTCTTGCCAAAGGTAATTTCAGCTTACCAAAAGAGTATTACACCTCCTGCACTTCTCCCATTAGCCTCTGGATTGATCATTTTAAGTACCCAATGCAGAGTCCCCTAAACTGATCATCCTTTGCCTGCAAGCTCAATTGCTCCATTGCAAAAATAAAAATAAAAATACCTATGCCAGAATGAGCCAAGGGTGGCACATCCCATTTTGCCGCTTGATGCAAAATGGTAATTGCTGCTTTGCCATTCTGCCAGGATGGCTCCTAAGCCCATCTACCTGCTCCTCCTGCCATGGCCTGATCTGCCACTGACACACACCATACCCTGTTGGTTGCAGGCACAGAAGCTGCACTACCATTGTTGCCCATTTTAAGCCAGATGGTGCTGAGTTCTTTCACCATATGCAGAACCAGCAGGGCAGGAGGGGCACCAATGGGTTTATTGTCTGAGGGGCTTCTGCCACCAGAAGCAGGGTCCTCACCTGCATCATGGCTGGTCCAGCTGTCTTTGGCCCCTTTGCCCTCTGAGCTTATGCCAGATCTCCTTTGCCAAATCCCTAAACCACACCGTATGGGCACATTTAATTTGTTGTGCAGCTTCATCCATTGTTTATCTCAGTGCCTAAGGGATATCTATTCTGCAGCTTTAACAGATGCTGGGCACTTACTCTGTGTGGTGTCCTGCCCTCCATCATTTAAGATTACCTCAGTTTCACATGCCATACATTCCATGCAAATCTCCCACTTTCAACTCCAAGCAGCTTCATTCTTATTTTATCTTTTAAAGAAAGAACCTGAGGCAGTAGACTTTTGTCTTGGGTCCTGGCAGAGAAATTAGCAACTGGACTGAAGGAATCCCAGGGTGCCAGTATCTCTTGTGTTTCTCAAAACATTGTCACAAAATGGTGAGCAAGCTTCCTGTTGACCCTGAACTCTTCCTCAGGGCCACAAAGACAAGAAATCCCTGCCGTGAATAACATCCAGTCTGCAGGAGAATATTGGAGACCTTGAAAGCTCCCTCACTATTCTGTGACATATTTAATTGTACCTAAAAAAGAAAGTCCCCCAAGGGTAAGCATGGGCAAGAGATTGGATTCAATTCTCATTGAAAGGTGAATCTATGTAATTCATAGTTACTGGAAATGAAAAACTGAAACAGACCTATCCCTACCCAATGGCTTATTATCATGAAATCTTTCTTGTGGTCCAACATGCCTTGCTTTGTGTTTTCGTATCTCAAACATGGTCACTTTGCTATGAAACGGAGTTAACTGTTGTCTTTTTGTTGCTGGTTTCTATGTTTTAGACGGGAGGAGTGATAGATGCCTTTGAAAAGTGGAAGATGCTCCCTCTCTTTGAGAGCCGCTGGATCCCTCTTGATCCCCAGCTAGGGACATCTTCTCCAAAGCATCCAGATTGAAAAAGCAACATTTTCAAGGCTTACCTGAGCTTGTGCCTTGCAATAAAAGCAGATCCAAAAGCCCTTTCCCCTCTGTTTTTCATTTCTAAGCATGAGTGTATTGCTAGTGAAGCCAAAATGGCACCTTACATCCATGAGACGGAGGTTTCAGCAGGCATGGTTGTGCAGAGGCCTAAGACGTCATTACAAAGGAAAACGAAAAGGGGGTGAGGATCTCTCAAAACAGTCTAGCGAGTAGGACTGGACCACAATGTGGAAAATGAAGAGTGACAAAATATGGAGGGTGGAATGAGAGGGAGAAGAAATTCTGTTCAGTTTCCCTTTAAATGGTAACCAAACTGAGTTGCACTCTTTGAAAAAGTATGCCAATTGAAATATAGTCATCCTTCCAAATTCACAGGTCTTTGAATTTTGGGGTTATTAAACTGACCAGACCAGATCTGGAAGTTTCCTCTTATAGATTCTAGGCCCCTCCAGCTAAAGGATTACACAATGGGAAGTAGCCCTGGCTTTTACAGAAACTAGCCCCACAAAGCCCACTCATTACAGTATGTTGGGCATAATTGCATGCACATGTGCCTACCTGAAAGAATTCTTCATCCTAGGATCCCATGGCTTCCAGTCGGGTGAGATAAGAGAATGCACATCCATTCCTCTCTATAGCAACAGAGCTCACTCTTTTAAGATGTAAATGGTGGGCACTTAGCTGAATGGCTATACATATAACTTAATCCATTCCGGAAGTGCGTTCCAAAACCAAAACGTTCCAAAACTAAGGTGCGCTTTCCCATAGAAATGAATGCAAAATGGATCAATCCATTCCAGACTTTTAAAAACAACCCCTAAAACATCAATTTAACATGAATTTTACTATCTAATGAGAGCATTGTTTCATAAAGTGAAAACAATCAACAATGTACTGCCAACCCACAATCAATCAATCAGTAGCTGAACTGGGTTCCAAACAGTCAGAAAAACAATTCCAAAAAAGTGCCTCAAAAACAAAAAGGCAAAATAAATAGGAAAAAAAGACAGTCCTCAGCATAACACTCGTAATGCAAGCGTAACACTCAAAATGGAGCAAAACTCCAAGAGAGAGAAGTGTGAGGAGGAGGAAGATGTAAAACAGGATGAAAGCTAAGGTGTATCAGCCTAAACAACAAAGAGATTCAGAGGTCCGCTGAGAGGGGAGGAACCACACCACTCTAAGGGTGAATCAACAAACAGGGGGAGAAATGTCGGGAAATCTACTGTTGAGATGTGGAACTGTCATTTTTCCAACTTGGCATACAGCCAGTGTAGCCTTATTGGAGTTCACCGACTGGGTCTGCGTTGCTCCGGGACAGGAGGAAGGAAGTCAAATGACACCGAGTTGGTTCAAAGAAAGAGTTTATTCAGCTCTCTGGATAGCAGAAGGCACTTGCTTGATCAAGTCCACAACAAGTCCAAAGAATTGACAAGTTTCATGCAGTGTATATATATCCTCCAGGCATCCTCTCCCCCTTCCCCAGCCACGTCAACTTGTATACGCAGGTAGACATCACATATGTTCCTGCTCTGGTACTCTCAACCATAAAAGGATCTTCCTCTTCCTACTCTTGTCTGGGAAGATGTCATAATCTCCGGGAACACGCTTTTGGTGTTTTTCCCGGACGTTGGTCTTGCGCGTATTTTGTGGTCAGCACATAAGATAAAGTTCTGACGTGTTTTCTTTGTTCCCTTAGAGAGCCAAGGCCATCCCTTGCCGTGACTGATAAAGGAGAGAGCTTGTTTATGTTTTTGCTCAACAGCTCAAGTTTTACGCACTTAAAAGTGCTCTCTTTTGAAAGAACAAAAAAGGGGGGGTTGAGTCAGCTTTAAACTTACTACACAGAAACCCATTCCTTCATTCCCTCCTCTTCTTTTGGACAGCCTTACGGCTCGTCCCAAGGCACTGGCTGGTATTCTCATGTCAGTGTTATAATCTGGGGCCGAATCATTCGTGACATCATTTTACGCATCATATTTTGCAAGCATTGCATTTAAGCAGGGTATACAGGAGCAGAAAAGAAGCAAGATTAGTCCATTAACATCATTACAAGTCCTCTAAGCCACTCAGTCAACCAAGACATGTCCCATCCGTTCCAGGTAGAGACAGGAACATGGGTTACTTTCTCTCTTTCTGTTGCCAGGTGTCGAATAGCTACACCATGGTCAGAGATGTTAAAGCAACAGGCTCCTTCTGTCAAATTTAACGCAGCACAAAATCTGGCGGAACCCAAAATCGGGCCAGCCTAACCTCTCTGTGGAATACGTTTTTAAAAATAATATTTAGATTTGTCTCTTCCACAAGTCTCTCAAGAAATTTGGCGCATGTAGTGTCTAATTAGTGGGAAAGGTTTTTTGATGCAATAAAGAGCCTTTTTTCTGGGTAGTCCTTGAGTCTCTCATGAGTACAATTACAGGCTTTAGTTTCTCTATAACTCATAAGCCATGCATGCCTCACTTCTTGTATGAGAAGGAGGTGTCAGCAGGCATGGTTGTGCAGAGGCATAAAACGTCCCCCCTCCACCTTGTTTAGATAGCTCAGGATCTAAGATAGCTCCCATATATTTCATGTAAAGTGTCCCACATTCAGTTCCAAGCACCTTGGGCATGAAAGTACCAGGACTGGACACTGACCCATTGCCCTTTGGATGTTTCTGATCTGGAGATGCCATCACCCCCAATCTACAGCCATACTGACAGTGACTCCAGGGGGTTTTAAACAGAAGAGTGAAGCGGCTTCAGAAACAGGGTTGGGAAGGAGAAAGGGGGATTTGTCATCTTCTAGGGTGGAAAGAAGAAAGGGAAGGACAGGCTGGCCAATTATTATGGGGTGCAGAGTGGGAAATGGCAGGTGGAGGAAGCAGAGAAGAAGAGCCCCTCCAGTTTTGAATTATTTTTTGTCTTGAGTCCTGTTTGAAAAAGGTGTCTGAGAGATATGGTGGTGGTGAGTTAGGAAGAGGAGGAGGAGGAGGAGGAGGAGGAGGAGAAATGTGAAAATTTCCCTTCCTTCAAGTAAGCTGAAGAGTCCATCAATTCACCTTTGAAATCTCCTTGCCCTGCATGTGCCCACTCAATCTCTTCAATTGGTCGACTTGGATTATTTTTTTTAAGAACTGTTTGATGCTATTATGACTACAACTAATAATAATTTTGGGATATGAGCCTGTGAAAATGCTCTTCCTTCAGGTAACTGCAAGGATCCAGCAATCTGGTGGGGACAGGTGAAGCGTGAGTTATTTACCTGAGGGATAAATCCCCTGGGCATTGTATCCTCCTCATAAAATTTTCATTTGATCCAAGCTATTTCATTCTGAAACATGACTGCGGCAGATCTGGATGTTAAAATCCCCTAGGACAACCAAACTAGGTGTCTCCAGGAAGCAGCTCAGGCAGGGAATCCTTGGTGCAGCGGGGAGGTCAGTACACCAAAAGGAATCCTGTACTGCCCCTATTGCACAACTCCCAGAACATGAACTCAGAAAACTGGGTCTTCACAATAGGACGCCTGGTGCAGACTAACGACTTCCTAAAAATCCTGGGGAAGCCAGGAGCAGCAAAGAGAGAACTGCCAAGCATAGGTGAAGGGTCTTCATGGTACAGGATGAGTTGACGTGGCAAAGCTGAATGCCAGCATTTAAGCCAAATGGAGCCCCAAAGGTTGCCAAGAGAAGGCAGGGAGAGAGAGGGAGATAACATTTCAGTCAGGAGCAGCAACGTTCTAAGATTTCATCAGCTACATACTCAGAGTCCTGGTGGACTGTTTTGATAACATTTTGATTTATTCAGAGAATCAAGAACAGCATATACATCATATGAAAGATGTGCTTCAGAGGTTGAAAAAATGTGCTTCAGAGTTGAAAAAATAACAGTTCCACTTCTCAACAGTAGATTTCCCGACATTTCTCCCCCTGATTGTAGATTCACCCTTAGAGTGGTGTAGTTCCTCCACTCTCAGCGGACCTCTGAATCTCTTTGTTGTTTAGGCTGATACACCTTAGCTTTCACCCTGTTTTACATCTTCCTGCTCCTCCTCACACTTCTCTCTCTTGGACTTTAGGATTAGAAGTCACCTCCAAACTCTACGCTAGGAGATCAAAGGAGAAACAGGCCAGCCAC